CCAAGCCCAGCTTCCTCGTCACGTCCACACTGCACAAACGCACCGCCGCGGAGATCACCCCCACCGAGCGGTTGATACAGGAGGAGCAGAAGATTGCCGAGGAAGCCTCCTACCGCACGACCCTCAAGCCCGTGGGTGAGATCGCCAAGGACATCACCTACACCGAGCCGCTCCGCACCGGCTGGAAGCCGCCGCTGCGGCTCCGCCGCATGCCGTGCCGCAAGGCCGACGAGCTCCGCCGCAAGTGGCACATCCTCGTCGAGGGCGAGGAGGTCCCGCCGCCCGCCCGCGACTTCTGCGACCTCCGGTTCCCCGAGCCCATCTCCCGCATGCTCCAGGAGAAGGGTATCGTGCAGCCCACGCCCATCCAGGTGCAGGGGCTCCCCGTCGCGCTCTCCGGGCGCGACATGATCGGCATCGCCTTTACCGGCTCCGGGAAGACGCTGGTGTTCGTGCTGCCACTCATCATGGTGGCGCTGCAGGAGGAGATGCTGATGCCGATTGTACCTGGGGAGGGGCCCTTCGGGATGATCATCTGCCCATCACGGGAGCTGGCCAAGCAGACGTATGATGTTATCGATATGTTCCTCGCTCCCCTCAAGCAGGCTGGGTTCCCAGAAGTACGACCCTTGCTCTGCATTGGGGGTGTAGACATGAGGACGCAGCTCGACGTGGTGAAGAAGGGTGTGCATATTGTGGTCGCCACGCCTGGACGGCTCAAGGATCTTCTCGCCAAAAAGAAGATGAACCTTGACAATTGCAGGTATGTATTGGATATTGTGATCAATGTGGTGTTTTCATATCTTGACCATAGCCTTGTGTCAAGATGGATGGAGTAATATGAAAGCAACATCAGGATATGCTTCTAAAGAAGAAACCTGTTTTCTAATAAGCTCAAGAAAATACACTTGCTGTCTTTTTCTGATCTTCACGAAAAACGCAGGATACATTAGCGTGGGTGGGCCGGTGAGTGTATTTCTAATGGGTAAAACTTAAGAGCACGGTCATTGGCGTGTCTATAATTATCGAATGAATGTGATGCACACTTATACGTCAGAGTAGGGGTGACTTCCAGAAGATACGGCTGATGGGGAGGGATGTAGGAGGAATATGAGACCATGGCCTGGGTAGAAAATAATTCAGATTAGATTAAGACTTTGTTTTTCCTCTTGGTTAATGCCAAAGTTTACAATAGGCATTGTTATATTGCAGGCCCTCCTATGGAACACCAGCAAGATCCGAGATCAGTCTAAATGAAAAATTGCTACCATAGACTGGGTACAAAGATTTTAGATGAGATAACGACAATTTCAGTGTCCTTCGCTAATGCCAACGATTACAATAGGCATCGTTATATAGACAGAGCAATGTAGATGTAAACTTGTCTATGTATTAAACAACTAATCCCCATCATTGGGTAGTAATCAAACTCTGTAGGAAAATAGATAGATTGGCTTGGTAGAACCATTCTGATCCTAAATGCTGACCCACTGCTGCAGTACCAAGAGATATATATTAAATACCCCCCCCCCCCTACCTAGGAGATAACCACTTCTTTTAAATGCAAGTAGAACCTCTCAGTGCCTTTAAAAAGCAGTGCATACAGTTTTCAAATTTCTTAATAGCGCTTTCTTGATTTGCACAGGTATGTAACATTAGATGAAGCTGACAGGCTTGTTGATCTTGGGTTTGAGGATGACATTCGGGAGGTTCTTAACCATTTCAAGGTAAAAGATAATTTCAAGGCACCAAGGCAAACCCTTCTTTTTTCTGCCACTATGCCGAAGAAGATTCAGAACTTCGCAATGAGCGCCCTCGTGAAGCCAGTTGTTGTCAATGTTGGAAGAGCTGGAGCAGCAAATCTTGATGTCATTCAAGAAGTTGAGTATGTCAAGGAAGATGCCAGAATTATATACCTCCTTGAGTGCCTTCAAAAGACTCCACCTCCAGCTCTTATATTTTGTGAAAACAAAACTGATGTTGACTACATCCATGAGTATCTTCTTCTAAAGGGTGTTGAAGCAGTTGCAATCCATGGAGGAAAAGATCAGGAGGAAAGACAGAGTGCGATTGAGTTCTTCAAGAATGGAAAGAAGGATGTTTTGGTAGCTACTGATGTTGCCTCAAAGGGTCTTGATTTCCCTGATATCCAGCATGTCATTAACTATGATATGCCTGCCGAGATAGAGAACTACGTCCACAGGATTGGTCGAACTGGCCGATGTGGGAAAACTGGAATAGCAACTACATTCATCAACAAGAACCAGACAGAGACTACGCTTCTTGACCTGAAGCATCTGCTCAAGGAAGCGAAGCAAAGAATACCCCCAGTGCTCGCTGAGCTCGTTGACCCACTGGAGGATGCTGAGGCTATCGCAAAGGCGAGTGGTGTAAAGGGATGTGCGTCATGTGGTGGCCTTGGGCACCGTATTGCTGACTGTCCTAAGCTGGAGCACCAGAGGTCCGCGGCCATGGCTGGTTCCAGAAGAGATTACTACGGTGGTGGAGGTTACCGAGGAGAAATATGATTGCCTCATGTTACTGTGTGTAATGCTGTTTCAAGAGCTAAAATGCTGCAACGTAAGTTCATCCATGCTTGAGATACACCATACCTTACCTTACATGTGTAGACATCAGTAAACAATGAGATGACAATCCAGATACAGTAGGGAACTCCTTTTCTCTTTTCTGGAGGGTATTCACAAGTCAAAACCTAGTAATGCATGTTGCTTGTTGTGGTGCACAAGGTGCCACCCACTTCCATCACACCCTGTACCACACACCCATGTGAAACAGCCCGCCTTTTGTTGTTGTACCAAATGATGCTTTTTAATCTTCTATTTGGTAGCCGGGCCCACAAAGAAATTTGTAGGGATCTTTAAAGGCATACAATGGGCGTACCTTTCCCTTTATTTAATGGTTTCAGTTAGCATGTGAATCATACAACCCTCCAGAGGTACATCAAGACATTTCAAACTGAACTTTCAAATCCATCTGGTTCATTGCTAAGGTTTGGAAATTCTAGTAAATATTAAGTGCCGATACCAAGCGTATAACACCGTACGGAGGTTTCAAAGGTCCAGTGTGAAATTGACTTGCCAGTTGCCATGCTCACTATAAGAGCCAGAAATTAGGCCAGTTTTGTTCCTAGTGGGTCATGAGCAAACCTAACAGATGAGCTCCATTTGACCACATCTTCTGATGGACAATGACATTGTGACCTTCACACTAGAAAGAGGGTAGCTTGCTTCTCTAGAACGCGAATGGGACTTAACGAACATTTTTAATTATTAAGCTTAGGTTTGGTGTCCTATTGCACAGACAGTAGTCCAAAGCAATGGAGATGGTTGCATTGTCGTAAAATTGCTCTAGGACCTAAACAACTTATCGGGGACCTTAATGAACTACCATTACTCATATGGCAGGAAAAAATCATCAGAAATGCAACTTTTAATCACCTGATGTGAATAGGAGAAATTGTCATGAAGAAGACGGATGTCCGCGCCGGATCGATATTCTCATTCAGCCAGTCCGACCACGTTTTGAGCACCCGGCCATATGCCTCGATCCTCGGCACCTCGTCGTGCTCGGACCAAGACCTTGAATCTGGCCTCCTGCAGAAATTCAAACAGAAGAGCTACCTTTAGCATGCAATTCAAGCAGATACAATAGTGTGGTTAAAATGTTTACAGAGATGGTCGACGGACTGACCGAACTTTGATGTCGGCGGTGTTCATCCACCAGATGTAGGTGTCGAAGATGAGGTAGTCCACACCCCTCCAATACTGGGCGTGTCCCTCGATCCTCTCGGGCCGTATGATCCGGTGCTCGATGCTGTGGATATTTGGGTCGTCAGAGTTGGACTCGACAAGGAATGGCGCCCAGTAGAACTCGAGCGTGGCGCGGTACTCCTTGGCGTGGAAGATGGTGTTTGATCCCCGTTTGACCACCTTCTTCCTCCCCTTGCTCAAGATGGACTGCACCATGCACACCAGCGAGTAAAACTGGTTCCTGTTGAGCGAGTCCCCCACGAACATGAGCCGCTTCCCCCTCATCCTCTCCATGAACCTCCTGGCGTCGAACCTGATCGAATCCATCCACGATTCACCAACCAACCATCTAATTGATCAGCCATGAAATATCTGGAGGAGGTGTTTGTTGCAGATCTGACGAAGAGGGAAAATGAAACGAAGCCATGGAGAGTCAAGCATACGTGGGGAGGGAGCAGTTGTTGGGCTGCCATTGCCAGTACTGCCATAAATCGTCGTTGCGGCCGTTGGCGAGGCAGGTGAGCTGCTTGGTGAGGAAGTTGCACTCTTTCTCCCGGTAGAGGGGGAGGGATTCGTTGTCGAAGACCCAGCGGCCGTGGGCGAGGTCGCAGGTGGGCGGGGGCAGCTTGATGGGGGGAAGGCCGGAGACGTTGTAGATGTCGGCGTCCGGGTAGAGGTAGTCGTCGATGGAGAGCTCCGCGATGGTGCGCGCGTCCTCGCCGTACATGATGAGCGCGAGGAGGGTGATGGCGCAGGCGAGCGTGGCGACCGGGGACCGGCGGGCCGCGGCGAAGAGGGGCCGGCTGGTGGAGGCGAGGGAGTCCAGCCCCAGGGGGTGGCGCGGGCGCGGCTTGGTGGCCCCCGGGGTGGAGGGAGGCGGCGGGGCGGTGGAGGGCGAGTTGGATGCGGGCGGCATGGCGGCGGCTTGTGGTGTGACCGCCGCCGGCGACGCGCGGGGGCGCTGTGGCTGGTTCGTTGGTGGGTGGGTGTCGGCAGCGAGGAAGAGGGGATCTGGGGGTGGTGATGGTGGAGTGAGAACGGGGAGGTGCCCTGCCCAGCTCCGACGACTCCGGCAAGGAGGTGCTGGTGTCCTGATTTGTAGGGTGCTTGTCGGCGTCCGGCCGTGTGGCGTCGGTCGAGATCTATCCGCCGCCCCCCACCACCACCACACCACCACCTCTTCACGCTGACAGTAGAAAAACGGAAGAAGCGGCTTTCGTCAACTAGTCTAGCGTGTTCAGACTTTGGAAGATTCCAATTCATACACAAATTTACACAGCCCATTTCACGTGCCGAGAACAAAACGGACGAAACCTCATTTTCCCATCCATTTTTCGTGTATTGTCTCTTCTCTCTCTCTTTTTTTGTGAATAAGTGTATTATCTCTCTTTAGAGCATCTGCAGTGGGATCCCCACTTTGCCCCTATATGTCCGCACAGGCAGACAGAAGAAATAAGAAAAAAAAACATCCAACCGAACTCCTCAAATTATTCTCATATGTCCATAATCCCTCGTATACGGTTCATATCCAGATGTTTTGGGCAGTCGCCCTGTAGGATTTGGCTCACCACGGATCACTATCTTTTTGTTTTTTCTCTATCTGTCCCTACCATTGGTATGCATGTGACCAGGTATATAGGGATGCAACTGATGGCATGGTTTATGCATGCACAAATAAGAGCTTGAAGCGAACACGTCCGCGTTCATATAGGGGAGGGGTGTCAAATTTTCACATTCCAGTTGCAGATGCTCTTATTTTGTTTTACCAAGTCATGCAAAAACGCCCTTTGTAAATGTTCTCTATCCAGAAACTCTGTAGCAAACCACTATATCATTCAATCATTGTTATTTTCTTTCCTATGCTTTTTAGTTCATGCAATTCAAAAGACACTAAGAAATGTCATGAATAGCCATATCTTAATAGGGACGAAGCCTCCAAAACAAACTAGCGTACTAAACTTAAAGTCTGCACCACTAAGTAGAATAGAACCAAGTTTGACAATCAGGCCATTTTGTCATATTCTGTTTATTTTCAAATAGCAACAACTTGGTCGTGTCCTTCTCTTTGTAACATCTACAGTTGAATATTGTGTCATGAGAATAATTAGTTCTTCTCGAGAGTCTTGGGTGGCATCTACATAGTGAATTGTGGAAGTTAAGCCAATTCAACAGAAGGTCAATCAACAAGCCATGGTCAACAAGTTAAAAAAACAAATCCAAAGGAAGGTCAAATATGACAGCAGTCCATTGGAGAGCAGGATCCAAGTGGAGAAGTCCACTACAGTGGAGTGTTGAGAGGGTTTGGTCCACCATGAGGTATGACACCCCCCTCTCACAATCCACCATCAACTCATGAGCCAAATTTGACCAATATGGCCCCACCCCTACCTACTGTCACAAAAAATTTGGGCAAATTAGGCTTTCATTACAAGTAGTGGTCCAAAATGACCCACAGAAAATTGCACACCTCAGGAATATAACATGGCATACGAAAAATAAAAAATAGATACCACCCTGGTACATGAAGTGGTGAGTTGTCCCCGAGAAAAACGCCACACGAAGAATAACGTCTTCTGGGGATGCTACGCCACAGTCGAGGTAGCATACGCTCCCCAAATGTCGCTTCGCTTCCGCCAAGGAGTCGCCATGGCCGAGCTCGCACACCGGCCGCCACCAACAAGTGAAGAGGAACACTAGAGAAAGGGCCTCCAGTTGATCTCACAACATGGGAGCTGAAGGTTGAGACTGAAGAACTGATGGATGATGTTGGTGCACATGCTTCGGCATTAAAAGAACGCCCCTGGCCGGGTTGACAACTCCAATCACTGGCTGAGCAATGCCTCTACCGAAATCTGATGGTTGTTGAACCCCCAGACTGCCTAGCGGACCTCTGTAGGATCAAGAAGATAGGTCTAGAGGGGGTGAATAGACTCTTAACCAACCAAAGGTGCGATTTTTAGTTTTCTTGAAGTTTAGGCAGATTTTGGCACTAGTTAAGATACAATCAATACTTTCTACACATGCATATTTAGAGATAGAGCAGCGGAAATAATACAACATGCAAGTGTACGGAAAGTAAAGGGGTAGAGATGGGAAGATCAAACACAATGAAGACACGATGATTTTTGGCGTGGTTTCGATAGGTGGTGCTATCGTACGTCCACGTTGATGGAGACTTCAACCCACGGAGGGCAACGGCTGTGCGATTCCATGGAGGGATCCACCCACGAAGGGTCCACGAAGAAGCAACCTTGTCTATTCCATCGCGGCTTACGTCCATAAAAGACTAGCCCCACTCGGGGTAGATCTTCATGAAGTAGGCGATCTCCTTGCCCTTACAAACTGCTTGGTTTAACTCCACATGATCTTGGAGGCTCCCAAGTGACACCTAACCAATTTAGGAGACACCACTCTCTAAAAGGTAATAGATAGTATGTTGATGACGAACTCCTTGATCTTGAGCTTCATAGATAGTCCCCCTAACACTCAATCACTCTCTCACATATTTGGCTTATGTAGGAGAAGGATTGGAGTGGAAAGCAACTTGCGGAGGCTAGAAACCAAGGTTCAAATGGTTAGATTGGAATGCCTTGATCTCAACACATGAGTAGGTGGTTATCTCTCAGAAAATGGATGGTGGAAGTGTAGTTTTGTTCTAGTGGCACTCTCTTGGAGAAAGTGGGGGTGGAGGGGTATAAATAGTCTTCACGCAAAATCCAACCGTTACAACCTTTTGACTCAACTCAGTGACACCGAACCAAAAACCCAGTGAGACCGACATGTGTAAAAGATTTGAATGTTGGGCTTTTCGGCGGGACCGAACAAAGAATCTTGGACGAACCGATATGTGATGACCTAAGTGAGACTGCATTTCGGTAATTTCGCTCGGTTCAACTCGGTAATTCTGAAGTGAATCAATTTGGTTACAGAAACTTGGTCAGTGCAAATCGGTGAGACCGATCGTCATCTTGGTAAGACCGAAGTTCTAGGGTTTGGCTTTGGCACTGTCTAGGATCAACTCGGTGGGTCCGGGTGGGTGAGACCGAGTTGGGCTTTTAGGGTTTGGACAAATATGATATGGAGAATGTGGCTGAGGGTTATTTGAGCAATGTCTTCAAGCACTTGAGCAATTGAGTCATGATCAAAACCTCATCCTTTTATAGTACTGGCTTTCCTATGGACTCATTGTGATCTTGGACCACTTAACCAAAACGTAGAGTCTTGAATCTTTGCCAATCCATGTCCTTAGAATTTTGAAGGGGTCCACAATCTCATGTTCTTGCCATGCCAATGTTGAATTTTTCAGAAACATACTAGATGAAAATATTAGTCAAACAATATGTATGTTGACATGAATTACCAAAACCACCAAGGGAGAAAATGTGCTTTCAATCTCCCCATTTTTGGTAACTGATGACAACACACATCGAAGCTTCAAATAAAGATGTAACAAGAAATGAATGTGAGCTTTGAGAAAAATATGTAACATGCATATGCTCCTCCTACAATTGTGCAGCCACATAAGTGGTAGATGCTTTTGGAATGAAGATGCACGATAGGAAGGGATTGAAATGCGTTACATGTATCTTGGCTATATGCATCAGAGCAAAGGAAAGAATGAAGTATCTTCATGTACATGATGCTTTCTTGCAAAAATATGTGCAACAAGCAAGAGATCATCATGCATATGGTGTGATGCATAAACTTAACTTGAGGCACTTGAGAAATTCCTTGAAGAAATAAGATTGAGAAAACAAGGTTAGATAACACAAGAAAATTTCTTTAAGGAGAAGAGGAACAAGGTCAACAAGAATGCCAAGATTGGGGTGACATGTATAGAATATAGTATCACTAGGTTAATACTTCCTTAAGTGCAAACATGTCCCCACAAGATCAAATAAAGATTTGTAATAGAAATTCCAAGGATTGTTCTCACCTAAAGTTGAGCTTCCTACCCCACTGAATCTTTAGAATTGATATAGGGAGCAGCTAGGGTGAGACAAAATCAGAGCACAAAAGGATCATGCAAAATGATCACCAAATATATGTTTCTCCCCTCTTAGAAACATGTAGAATTCTCTCCTCTTGTAAAGTGCATCTCTCTCTTTGGAATAGTTTCCCTTTTTATAGATGGGAGTTTGCAGCTGAGTTTGATGTGCTTCTCTGATGAGCTCTAATGTGCTTCTCTCCCCCTCTGGCATCAATTTCCAAGAAGGGTTTATCTTCAAGGTTGTTGGTCAAATGGGCGTGATCCTTGAGAGGCACAACTAGCTGAGTTTAGCTTTAGATGCAGACAAAGGGTAAAGAATCATTGAGTGGAGCTGGAAAGATAAACAAGGAAATTTTGGCAAAAGGTTCTTTATGTAGCGAAGTTGGTGTCTCCGAGTAGTGTCAATGGTGAGTCTAAATAGGATAGGTCACAGAATGATCATATTGGTGTGTCTAGTCCATCCTTTTCAGTTGTATTGACGAATAGGTATGCAATGTGTATTGCTTCTTGGTGATATTGGAGTGTTTCGGATAAGAGGTACCGAGTTCAAGGCAAAGAGAGAATTTTGTCAACTCAGCTCACTTGGCACTAAGGTCCCACTAAGATTTTCAATGAATTCGAATAAAATTTGCAATGAATTAACTAGAAACAAATCTAGCTAGGGAAAGAAAACAAAACAGAAAAGAAGAACATCTAGATGAAGTTTTTTTGAAAGGGGAAACACAATAACTAAACTCAAGAAGAAAAAAGTAATCTAAAGAGATACTAGAGAACTTCATCTAGAGGGGGGTCGGCGACTAGGTCGCCTATGTTAGAGTATATTGACTTAGGAGTCAAGTGAGAACACTTGATCATAAGTCATACTCATCGTTGAGCTTAAAATGGGGTTGCCATTTTTGGTTTAATCATTTCAATTTATTCACATC